CCCCAAAACCCCAAAACCCCAAAACCCCAAAACCCCTAGGACTTATCACTAAATTGAATCTAAAATATTTCCTAAGTTAATGTCAGTTATGGAAAAACCAAAGTTCTTAAGCAGAGCTCACGAAGTCAGCATTATGTCTGCAAGGAGTAAGAAGACCCTATGATTAGTCATGCTAAGTTTTAGAGCCTAAATCAAGCCCCTTTTCGACATCAAAATCAATAAAGGATAAGGAAGCTGTAATCTTGCCGAAAAAGCAGAAGACATTTTGATACACTAATAATAGTTTTGTTGCTAAAAATCAGGTAACTCCGTTAAATCTTCAAGCATTTTCAAGGGAATTAAAATCAGATCATAATACTTGGGTATAGTCTCCTTTGGGAAAGATTGATTCGAAAGTGAAATATGAAATCCAACGGATAGTTCTATCCAGCATTGAGAGCTACATTAAACCCCTACAGATAGAGATTAATGAACTCAAAAAGAAAATAGGTAGCCTTAAGTCCTTCGAATCAAATATTGAGAATGAGCCTTTGATCACATTTGAAAGGCAAGACACTTTCAGTCCATATGAAGTTAATAACATTTCATCACGTCTTTGAGATCCTAGAAAGTCGAGTAAAAGGAATTTTGGGAGAGATACACAAAATTTCCTCCCTCTGAATAACAACAGCTTGAGTAAGAGAATGGATGGTTTCCACAGTAATCGCAAGAGAAATCTGTCGAATACTCATCAAATCTATCCAGAGTCTTTGAAGAATGAGAATCTAGTCTCTTTGGTTCCTGAAATTTCCCATGATAGTTACAAAGATCAGCCTAAGTAGTCTACCTGGTTTAAAATATAGAGAGAAGAAAGTGCATCACCAAGCTAGATCGTCCATTATCTTTAAAAAGCCAACTAACCAAGATTTGGATTTTAGTGAAGGGACTGATGTGGAGGTGGCTCAAAGAACTTTCCAAGACACTTCTAAATCAGGTGTTGAAAAGAAACTCGAAAACACATAGTATCTCTCTCTTACTAATCTGTAATAGCTTACATGCAAGAAAGCACTTAAGAAGGAACCAGAATAGGCTTCAGAGAAAAATAGTTAACGACAGTATTACTTCCATGGAGAAAACTGACAGAAAGGATGACTCTTTGAGTGATTGTTCAACTGGGAGAGTCAACAAGATGAAGACCCAGGCTCCAACATTCTTCAATTCTGAAGTGCAGTCATGAGACGAACTAAAAAGCAATATTTCAGACGTAAGCTACTTTATGCTATCATAGTGTTCAAAAACCATTACAGAGCCCGAACATGTCAGAGTGAAAGTCTCTCATCTGAGATCTGCTAAAGTTTCCAGAACAGTTTGAAAATGTATTTGTGGTCAAATCGAAAATAAAGTAAAGAAGCTAGAGACTTGTGGAGAATATTGTAAAAATTCAAGCTCTTCTCAGCAATTTCAAGCTATATTCGGGTCTAAAAATAAGTTGATGCCAGACGATAGTTCTTCAAAAGATTCATACATTGTAGCATCTTCTTGGTGGAGAAAATGGTGTGATTTCATCAATATTGAATATAATACTTTTGAAGAATTAATGAAGCAAACAACTGCTCATAAGGTATCCTCAGAAATGTTCAAGTTTGATAATAATACTAGTGTCTGAGTTTCAGGGAACTTCCAAAGTTATTATGCTGATTCACTCTACATGAGTAACCTCTATGGAACAAAATCAGGAGCACAAAATAATGAATTAGAGGAATCTCACAATGTACAACAAATAGCAGGTAGATCTTATCAAACATCAGAGAATGGAACTATCTTTCTAAAATCTGATAGCGATGACCATGTGTATTCTAAACCAGGAAAGATCATTAACAAAGATTTGGTGAGAATCTACCACTCTTTAGAATCAAATGAGGAAATAGCCTCTTTAAAAGCAAATATGCAGGAAGTAAGTCCTTTGTTCCCAACTATAGGGGTACGACTATATAAAAGTTAACAAAAGATGATGGGACTTGCTTAAAAGCTGGTACGAATTTGATTTCGAAGTCATTGCTCCAAACTTTGACTCAGGATCATGATTATCTTGTTTATAGTTCAATATTTAACTGACAATTTGGGGTTTTGGGGTTTTGGGGTTTTGGGG